GGGGCAGGGAGCCTCTAGGGAAGCAGAAGGCAATCAAGTGCTAGGGGTCCGAGGGCTGCCGTGGCAGCTATAGGAGATCTCTCTGTACAGTCCAGCACAAGCAGCCAGCACCCCGGGGGGGGGGGGGGGGCACTGCACAGGGGTCAGGCAGGCTGACTTGGGTTTAGGGAAGAGCAACTAGGCAGCCCGAGATGCTGGTCCCTGGACTGGCTAGAGATGGCGGAGACAGATAACCCTGTGGCTAAGGGAGGGCCTGGGTGATGGATCAGGTGTGGTTCTGGAAGGAAAGAGATGCACACAAAAAAAGGAAAGGGAGAATTTCATGAAGGGACAGGTTTCAACGGAGGGGGCGGGGTTAAAGAAACCCTAGAGGGGGCCCATTGTGCTCCCAAGTGCGGGTGAGGGAAGGAGTTACCACCAGAGGCCTGGTGGGTTACGGGGAGGAGCCTCTGGGAACTGTCTCTCAGGGGTTTTGACCTAGAGAGTTGTCAGCATGGCTGCAAGAGAGGCCCACCAAACAGAAGCTGCACCCCCTTGAGGAGGAGCACGGCCACCGCCAACACAGGCCAGGCATGGAGGGAGCCCAGGCGCGGACACATTCTCTTGTCTTCTCTTCCCTGGTCAGATGCAACAGAGGGCACGGGAGGAGGGCGACTGATGCGGGAGACACAAGACAGCCCCTCTGAGCGCAGGGCAGGAGGCACGAGCGTGGATAGTGAATTTGCTGCGGCAAACTAAGAATATACAGCACAGCGAGAACCCTGGGAGTGAAGGATACACAAGCCCAGAAGTCACACTTTGCGGCCCTAACTGTGAGTCTGAGCAGGTAGACCTGCTTCCAAACCCACAGAGATGAAGACGTGGGAGGGAGTATCCTAATGATTCAGTTTCTATTCTTTTTTTTTTCCCCCCAGCTTGACCCAGGTACTGGAGCTGGTCTGAACTCATGGGTCTGAACTGCACAAACAGTGGGGCAGAAGAGGTAGAGGTGGGGAAAGCAAGATGGGCATGACCCGCCAATACAGCTCTCTGGGCCCCACAAATCTCAAAAGCATGCCCACTCTGATACTTGTACTTGATTCTCAAGGCCCCTTATTTAGTGGGTCAGGTCAGCATTCATGTTCTAAGCGCCATTCAGAAACCTGAGGAAATTTAGACAGCCCAATAAGCAGCCCCTCTCCAACTCCCCCCACCTGCAAGCATACTGGGCACATGAATCACAAAGAAGTTTGATTAGAAGAAAATCCACTACCATTAGAAGAAATTTCTGTTCAAAGGAGCCCAGGGAAGGCTCCCTCATCAGCACACACCACACCTCCACACGTCCCTCCCTCCCTCCCTCCCTCTGGACTGGAGCTGCTGCCGGGGGAGGGGGGCGGGGGCATGATGCCACTGACCACACTGTGTTTCCTCCCGCTGCCCTTCCCCAGTCACTGCTGATGCCAGAGAAGAGAATATGATGTACTGCCACTTCCCTGGTCTCTTTCTTTTAAAGCTCCGCCCCCCAGCTGGTTCCCTACAGCTCCCCCAGTTAAAGTGGTTGTTTGCTTGCTTGTTTAATGAAGCTCATTATCTTCTAGGCTGTAGCAGGTCAGACCAGAGCAAAGCATTCAAGCCAGCCGCTCCCCCAGCACAACCAGCATGGTCCCAGCAGGAGCCCCAGCACCCCAGCTGCCCCCTGCCTTCCTTCTCGGCCAGGCACACCCTGAGAGCTGCTAAGAGCTTCTCTCTTCTTTCTTGTTTGATATCACAGACCTGGTGCTAACTATCCATCTCAGCCTCTCCCTCCCCTACTTTTACCCACTAGGGCTCTTCAGGAAACAAGTTTTACGAATGCTTTGCAAAGGTGAGATGATGTTGAAAGAGAATAAAATGGTGACAGCAATCACATCTGTGTGTATGTTGCCCATAGTCTCATTCATCTGATGCTACACAGCTTGCAAGGCTCATAATTAGTTTGACCCAGAGAATCTGGGACCTTCCCGAAGCAGTTTCTAGAATAGCAGCGCAAATTGTCACCATTATAATGAAAACCAGCATTTATTGAGACTAACTAGGTCCCATACATTAAACTGTGTGGTTTGTTTATTTATTTATCTTTAATCTCCACAGTGGCCCAATGGATTATGGATTATTATCTTCATTTTAGAAATTAGCTTAGTAAATTGCAAAGACAGGATTTGAATTCGGGTGTCCTGGACAGGCTAATCTCAGCACCTGCCAGGCCTCCTGACCCACTCTGAGCCTCTGCTGTAAGGGAACGCCAACGCACCTTATTAGGCAGAGAACCGGGAAGATGTTCGTTTAAAACAGTAACAATGTCCTGAAACCAATGTGACATTTGTGTCAACTACACCTCAATAAACAGATAGATAGCAATTCCAAAGCATGGAATCCATAGCATCATGAATGTGAGAATAAAATGTCTCAGGAAACACGGCATGTGCGTCTGGGCTTTCACCTCACTCATATCCGTGTATTCTTAGACCCGTTTCTTAGATGCATTATGTTCTTGGAATACTACATAATTTACATATTTGCTTTTCAGAGCACTTCTGGAACTATTTAAAGTTCAGAATAATTATTCTTCTCACAGCTTCCTTAATACAATACTTATTATAAAAATTATTAATTCAGGGCGCCTGGGTGGCTCAGTCGTTAAGCGTCTGCCTTCGGCTCAGGTCATGATCCCAGGGTCCTGGGATTGAGCCCCACATCAGGCTCTCTGCTCGGCGGGGAGCCTGCTTCTCCCTCTCCCACTCCCCCTGCTTGTGTTCCCTCTCTCGCTGTGTCTCTCTCCGTCAAATAAAAATAAAATCTTTAAAAAAAAATTATTAATTCAGTATCTGTGTTTAAGTTGGCAAACTCCTTTCCCTAAATCACCATTTCCAGCTTCTGATCTTAAGCGGGTCCAGCAGTTCATGACTGCTGTCCATATGGGCCCTCCCTGATGTCATGACACATTTTCCTCGCTTCCCAACAACCCCTGTGATGCGTCCTCCTCGCCTTCCAAGACCCGCAGACATCGGCAGCAGTCCTTGACCAACTCAATTGCAGGAGGACCTCTCTTCTGAAGACTTTTCCTAAGTGTCTACAACTCTATCCCTTTAATGCTCACTAGAACAACTTTCCTGCTTTTCCTGAGGGCACTTTAGATGTATTAATATTTCAAAGGCTCACACTTGAATTTATTTTTTATTCCTATTTGATGTTGCCTCATACCTAGGCTGTCTTTTCTCTTTAAATTCTTAAAGTGAAGAGTCGGGTCAGCTTCTCCTGTTCAATCGCTTCCCGAAGGCCCCCCAGCTCCTCTCCACAAATGTGAACATGCTAACATTTCAGACCTCTGTCTTTGGAGTTAGCTGACAGTGGTGCCACTGTCCCCCTTGGGCCTCCTGGGGGTTCTGACCTGTTTGAGGACCCGTGGCCATGACTGGGAGCTCTCTGAGGGAATTCTGCAGGTATTTATCTGGCACCTCAGCAACAAGGCTTTCTGCCAACACGGAGCCATGTTCATCCCACTTTTCCTGGATTCGTCCCAATATCCGGTCGTTTCACAGAACTAAGATGTCAAAAACAGAGCCAATCTTGCATCTAGAGAGAGTAGGCAATTACCTATATACTGAGCTTTAGTCAAAAAGACAATAAAAACTAAAAACTTCCCCACCTGTTCACGATGGCTGAAACCCCAGGCCAAATTTTTCTCGCCACCACAGAAGGGTGGGAGACTGCGCCCCGGAAAAAGCTTCAGCAAGCTTCAGTCCATCCCAAGGGGGAGCTACCAGGTGTCAAGCATTTTCCTGGAAAAGCAAAGGGGGGAGCTGGGGAAGACGTGGGGCCATGAAGTCCGTGGGAGGCCCGCCCAGGAGAGGGCGAGGAACCTGAGAGGAGGGGCCCGACAGTCATTGCACTATTTTGACCGAATGGCTCTCCTACCTCGCTCCCTCTTTGCTCCTCCGCCAACCCTGGAGCACAACCCTGGAGCACAACCCTGGAGCACCGTCGGGACCTTTGCCCGCCCATAGGGGAGAATCTGGGGAAATATTTTCATCCTCCCTGCAGTCATTAAGGCAAGACTCTAGCCCTCACTCCCCTTCCACCCGCAGAACTCCCACACCAGCCCAGCGTCGGGCCATTGACACAGACAGCGCAGGAGACCGATGAAATCTGCTGGAATGTGAGGCTGCTAATTCCTGCCGCTGAAGACTGAGGTGAGCCCTTTCTCATGGAGGAATTTCACTTTTACTGGTCCAACAGAGATACAGCCCAGAGGGCAAACTCCCATGTTGGGCATAATTCTTCGGGTGAAATGTTTAGAAGAGTCCTGCCAACACAAAGCAGCAATTTCCATGCAAATTCGTGCCTGGGGGGGAAAATGCAATTGGCCCAACAATGGTACTGATGGGACACCCCCTTCCCACTGCAGTGGGGTGCGGAGGCACGGCTTGAAGGAAAGGATCTCTCCGTTCAGCTTTTCTCCCTCTGAGCGTGCCAAACATAAATGACTCCTGGGTTCCAAAAGGGGTGTTTGCTCCACACTGCTGCTCAATGACAGGGACTGCATGGAAATGAGAAGTCATGTTCCCCTCCTTCTCAGGGGGCCCGCGAGAACAAAAGCAACCTTTTTTCAGAAAGAAAGAAAGTCAGGAGTTTCGTGTTTTGTGAAACCAAAAAGGCTGGTTAGCCATGTGGAGTTTACAAAGAAAAATGTAACAATCCCCTAAGCTGCAAGCCCCCCACCGCGATTCTGATAGCCATGCTGGGGCCTCGGGGGATGTAGTGGCCAAAAGAGTTCAGGATCCACAGATTGTTCTGGTCTCCACCGGTAGTATCAAGGTGAACCGGGGCAAATTGCAATAAATATGATGTTGCTGAACTAGCTCGGGGGTCTTTAAGTTGGGCGAGAGCTACACGTGCCCTGGTGCATGAAGACTTCCCAAGGGCTTTCCAAGGGAAGGGATAGCTCCTGGGAATCAACCGCTAAATCTTCAGCTTCCGCATGTCCTCTTTCCTGAAATTAATTTGTCTAAGATCATGCCACAAGGACTCTTTCTATCTCCAGTAGTCCTTTTCCGACTTTGCAAGAAATGCATACCCTTCACCCACCTCGGTCCTACTCAGGTGCATTGTCCTGGGGTGTCAAAACTTTCATGGATTCTTCCTGAAGGACAGTCCTTTGAGAGAAGAGCAAGTGAGCTTCAGAAAGGAATATGGAAGGCAGGTGAAAAACTCATGGTTAGCCTCTTTTGTTCCTTCTTCCTTCCCCTCACTTCCTTCTTTTCTTCCTTCACTTTTTTTTTTTAACTTTATATTCTGTCTAGTTTATTTAGGATGTAATGAATGTAAGACCGCCTTCCTTCACTTCTTAAGAGTCAGAGTTCAGGAGCAAGAAGATTTCAAAGGGTTGCATGCTAACACTTCTCTGAATTAAAAAATGAAGTGAGATTTTTTTTTTCTGACATGAAGCAAGTCCAATTTGGCAGAATGGGTTGACAATAAGGACTAGCTTTGCCAATTAATTTCTATGATGGACACTCTCCATAAATTTAATGAGCTAAATCTGCAGCTCCAAAGTTTTGATGAAAATATATTTTAATCATTGATATGATATTCAGTACTTCATCTAATACATACTTTGCAACTACTTAAATTTATGATAAAAAAGTTTAGATGTCAACTCAAAAAGAATCTTTCAGAATTCTTTCATGGAGTACATGAGCAAAAAAAGACTGAAACTACTAGTCGAACTGATTCTTTCCAGGTCAGAGTGCTCGTAAAATTTCTTGGTATCTTCTCTTTCTCCCTCTCTCTGCACCCGGCTCTATACCCCACTCTCCCGACCTTGCCCCACTGCCTTCTCAGTCACGGCATTTGAGAGGCCTTGGTTACCAGTGTTCAGTATCCCTTTCAGCTCCCACAAATTAAAACACACCTGAAAAACCCAGAAAAGTAGAGGGAGAATCTATGGAGGCCAGGCATAAAGTCCCCAAAACACTCCCCAAATATTTTGACCGTCTTACAGATGAGGAGACTAGGATGAACAGACTGAATATCTCAACTGTTTCAGAAAAAATAATAAACTCATTCTGCTCCCAGTTTCGTGCTCGCTTCGGCAGCACATATACTAAAAATTGGAACGATACAGAGAAGATTAGCATGGCCCCTGCGCAAGGATGACATGCTCCCAGTTTCCCCACTGGGCTAATTTAATATTCCCTTCCCACTCGTAAGAAATAGATATGATATTCAAGGCCAAAGTAGCAACTTTTCCTTTTAGGTTTTTTTGTTGTTGTTGTTAGTTCAGTTGACATTTAATATTGGTTTTAGGTATACAACACAGTGGTTCAACATTTGTATATATTTCAAAATGATCACCATAAGTCTAACCACCATGCAAAGTTCTTACAATATTATTGACAATATTCCCTATGCTGGACTTGTCATCCTCATGACTTATTTATTTTATAACAGGAAGTTTGTACCTCTTAATCCCCTTCACCTATTTTGTCCATCCCCCCCACCCCCTTCCCCTCTGGCAACCACCAGTTTGTTCTCTGTATTTACAAGTCTGTTTTTGTTTGTTGGTATTTGTTTATCCATTTGTTTTGTTTTTTAGAGTCCACATATAAGTGAGATGAGGCAGTATTTGTCTTTGTCTGACTTATTTCACTTAACATAGTACCCTCTAGTTGCATCCATGTTGTCCTACATGGCAAGATTTCATTCTTTTTTATGGCTGAATAATATTTCATCAGAGAAATACACCACATCTTCTTTGTCCATTTATCTATCGGTGGACACTTAGGTTGCTTTTGTATCTTGGCTATTGGGAATAATGCTGCAATAAACATGGGGGTGCATGTATCTTTTCAAATTGGTGTCTTCAGTTTCTTTGAGGAAATACCCAGAAGTGGAATGACTGGATCCTATGGTGCTACTATTTTTTAGTCTTTTGAGGAGGCTCCACACTGTTTTCCCAAGTGCAAACTTTCTTTTTAACTTTCTCTTTGTAATGCCTCCCATTGATCCAATTCTCTTCTTTTGTCCACAATGACCACTCCTGGATGTGAAAATAAGGAGAAAAAAATACTTAGATGTAGAGATACAGATAGAGATAGCTGTAGAGGTAGAAGTAGAGATATCCCTCATTCCCTTTGCTTGGTTGATAGAAGGCCAGAGTGATGAGAATCTCAGTCTTTACCAACAAACCTCAGAAAAGGACATAAATTTGATGACTTTGATTAGCCATACTAGCCAGCTGATTCTTGATCTAGACAAAATTCATAAAATTTTCATGCCATGCCCCCCTTTGGTCATTTAAAGCCTATATAAACCTTTTTTTCCCCCAGAGTGGCTGTACACTTTTTTGTTTATTGTGGTAACCCTTAACATGAGATATACCCTTTTAACAAATTTTTAAGTGTACAATTCACTTAAAAAGAACATGTAACATAAGGCCTATCCTCTTAGTGAACTTTGATGTACGCTGTAACTACAGACATTGTGCTGTACCGTCGATGTCAAGGACTTTTTCATCTTGCATAACCAAAACCTGGTGCCCTTTGAACACCACTTCCCCATTTCCATCTCCTCCACCGCCAGCCCCTGTTAACAAACATTCTGCCCTCTGCTTCCAAGAACCTATTTCAGATTCCTCAGGTAAGTGAGATTATAGAGTGTTTGCCTTTCTGTGTCTGGCTTATTTCACTTAGCATAATGCCCTCCCGATCCATCCATCCATCCATTCAATCCAAATGGCAAGATTTGCTTCTTTTGTAAGGCTGAATAACATTCCATTGTGTTTATATACCTCATTTTCTTTTTTTTTTTTTTAAGATTTTATTTATTTATTTGAGAGAGAGAGAGTGAGAGACAGAGAGCATGAGAGGGAGGAGGGTCAGAGGGAGAAGCAGACTCCCCGCCGAGCAGGGAGCCCGATGCGGGACTCGATCCAGGGACTCCAGGATCATGACCTGAGCCGAAGGCAGTCACTTAACCAACTGAGCCACCCAGGCGCCCCTATATACCTCATTTTCTTTATCCATTCATCCATCGATAGCATTTTGGTTATTTCCGTATCTTGGCTACTGTGAATAGCGCTGCAATGAACATGGGAGTGCAAATATCTCTTTAGGATTCCGATTTCAATTCTTTGGGAAGTGGGATTATATGGACCCCTTCTCAGAATACATAAAACAAATGAGTAAGATTGCAAAAGGAGATAATTACCTTAAAATACTGTTATCAAAATATCTTTAAAAGCAATTTTGTGGCATAGTAATATATGTGTTTTTTATTAACATATTAAATAGCAAGGTCAGCATATTATTCAGGAATAATATCTATCATAATTTTGAAGTAGTAATTAGTATAAATGATATTTTGAAATGTCTGCAACCACTGTAGTATGTTATAAAAATATAAGTTGGTGACAAATTCACAGATACTGCCAGTATTACTGGGATTTGTTGGCTATGTACATAATAAAAGGAAATGTTACATTATAGTTAGAGCTTAGTGAAAGTACACACTTGTGTATTTTCCTATTCCAATTCATGGATACCCTGCTCTAAACAAACCGTGACTCAGGCAATATTTTGAAGACCTGCCTACCTTCCCTTTTTGCTCCCTCTTTACTATTCCTGTTGACTCTTCCTTCCCCAAGCACCCACCCTATGGTATTTTCGATAGCTGAAGTAATGGCTCACGAATAACAACCACCATTCATGGACTGTCTACTGTTTCACATACATTATTTGTACGCCTTACAGCAACTGTCTAAGGCCTTTTATGAATGTAACACCTGAAGCTCAGAGAGCTTACACAATGTAACCAAGGCAACAAAGTGGAAGACTGGTATTTAAACTCAGGTCTGCATGGCTTAAAGTTTGTTCCCATTTCCACTACATTATACTGCCTCCTTTCAGTTTAAAGAAATTTTGCAGATATCTTAATAGGGAGTCTAAAAACCATATACCGGGCGCCTGGGTGGCTCAGTTGGTTAAGCGACTGCCTTCGGCTCAGGTCATGATCCTGGAGTCCCTGGATCGAGTCCCGCATCGGGCTCCCTGCTTGGCAGGGAGTCTGCTTCTCCCTCTGACCCTCCCCCCTCTCATGTGCTCTCTCTCATTCTCTCTCAAATAAATAAAATCTTTAAAAAAAAATAAAAATAAATAAATAAATAAATAAAAACCATATACCTCCAAGAAATAGATTTCTAATGGAATTTCAGATAGAATCAGAGGTAGAGCTTCTGGAGATGAGGAGTCTTTAGATACTCTCTAAATCTTGCGAGACCAGTGACAGTTCTCACTCACTGCCGTGCTGCGTCTGCAGAGAGGTAAGCAACTGAGTCAAACCACAGGAATCTATCCCTAATCCCTGGGAGGGCTGCACAAGTTACAGAACATGTGGGCAGACAGAACCCTTCAATACTTGTGAAAGACAAAGAGAGATTATAAGAAGGCTCTTTTTCATCTAGCTGCATTCTGGATGTTTTGGGGTGTTTTTTTTGGTTTTTTTTTAAGCACTCCAAACACAGTAAAGAAACATTATAGAGGAAGAACTGCGTGCCAAAAATGATGAAGAAAATGGCACAGAGCACTCTCCTCATCTGTGCAACTTGACAATGGCTTTCTGTTGTTACAAGTAGATTTTCCACAGCCTAAAAGGAAGAAGTGTTGGGCAGAGGAAGGAGAGCATGTCTTTTGTGGCCCACCCTCAGAAGGACATAGCATCACTGTCATAATATTCTTTTGGCTGAAGCAACCACAAGCCTGCCATCAGAGGAGATGTAGACCCCTGCCTCTCCATGAGAAGAGCATCGAAGGATTCATGGCCATGTTTTAAAACCGTTACATATGGGTTTCTTTTTATTCCGTTTCTTGGCCAAGAGTTGTTTCTCTTCCCATCCCACCCCCATTTCCTCTTCTCAAGTCACCCAAGTTGGTGGGCCCTCTTCTACCTGTCCTGCACACTCTGCACGTTCCTGTCCCCTGCAGTGTTGTGTTGGATGCTCACCTCCTGAATCAGGGCCCTCGTCACACACGGTTCTCAGCCACTGTCTATGGCTACATGAGGTTTACACAAGGGACTGAGTCTTCGTTACTTTTATTTAAAGTGCTGCTGGTTAGTGCCAGGAATGGCTTCTTTCTCCATCGGCACTGCATTTGCATTGCTCAGTCCCTGAGGCAGTTTGCTCCTTTCTTGTACGTCCGTCAGTTCCTCATTGATCTCTGCCAGTTGAAAGTGAACTCTCAGATTCAGGCCTTTACCCATCCTAATAGGATATTTTGTGCTCCCAACAGTCACTTGAGACTGGAGTCCAACATGGATAAGAATACAAGCTTTGGGGGCAGAAAGATCTGGATCTCTAATCCCTGCTCCCTCACTTACTGTGTGATCTTGTCCAAGCTACTTAATATCACAAAGCCTTAGCTTCCTAGTCTGTAAAATGGAGACAAAGAGATATACTTCATAGGGTTGTGAACAGGATTAAAAGGGACTGTGCAGACCGAGCAATTATCACATTGCCTGGTACTCAGGAAACACCCACTAAGTGCTAACTATAGTAGTAAGAGCAACATTACTAGTAGGAACAGTGGCGGTTAACAATCTCTAACTGGGAAAGGACCATGACGACATAAAGTACTCATGACGTGCAAATGAGCTTTTAAAGCTCCAATCCTGGGCGCCTAGGTGGTTCAGTTGGTTAAGCGACTGCCTTCGGCTCAGGTCATGATCCCAGGGTCCTGGGATCAAGCCCCGCACTGGGCTCCCTGCTCTGCGGGAAGCCTGCTTCTCCCTCTCCCACTCCCCCTGCTTGTGTTCCCTCTCTCGCTGTGTCTCTCTGTGTCAAATAAATAAATAAAATCTTAAAAAAAAAAAAGCTCCAATCCTTTCTCTGTGGGTACATAAACTGGACTCAAAGAAAATCTGTGTACGAATATGGGCATGGGACATACATACGCATATGTTTAGTCAAAATCTTTTTTTCTTTTCACCAGCTGTATTTTATTTCTATTTCTTAAATGTCCACATGGATATTTTCCTGTCAGTCATTTACACCAGCATTTTAAGTAATTTTTACTAAGAAGAATCTCCCTGTCTTAGAAAAGCATTCAAATGCAGTGGTTGGGCTCAGCAGATCACAAAGAATACAGCATGATGAAAATGTCTCCAGAGCATCATAAAGTAACACTTCAATATTTAAGATGGCTGGATTTACTCCAAGGACTGAGACAGTCTGCCTATCACCAGTCTGCTTCAAAATATAGTTCTTGGCTCCAGTCTGCAGTTCAATGAATGCGATCAGTGCAAATACAAGGTGAATAAATCTTAAAGATACTGGACAAAGTTATTTCCCAAGACAAGAACACAAGGGACAAGACAATCTTGATTAGTCGATGCCTATGCTAATATTTCATCTTGGACTGGCTGATGTGAAGGTTCGTGTTATTGACTCCCTGTTTGAATCTTCTTGGAAGAAAGCAATAGTCTACTTTGAATTGGTTATTATCACAACACCCTCTCCATAGTTAAGATCTGTCAATATTCCTTTATCTGGGAGATGCTTAAAGGTCCAAGGTTTTACTGGTCCTGACATGAAGTAATCTGCATCACAATTCATGTCACTTACACAGTTCAACCTTTCTGAACAAGTGAGAATCCTCCCAACAAGAACTCTACCTGCCATTCATCTACAGCTATGCAGAGGAAACTGGGTGGACAATAGAGTTAAGGACTTTTTAGAGGGTCTGAAATTCTACTTCTCAATAGACAGCAAAGGACTGGAGGAAACATTGAAAGTTCCTAAGTTCAGAGTAAGTACCGTTTCTTAATTACCTAGGGCTGCCATCATGAGGTACCATAAACTGAGTGTCTTATCATCTTATAGCTCTGGAGGCTAAAAGTCCAAAATCAAAGTGTCAGCAGGATTGGTTCCTTCTAAGAGCTATGAGGAAGAATCTGTTCCATGGCTCTCCTAGTTTCTGGTGGCTCCAGGCATTCCCTGGCTTATGGCTTCATAACGCCAATTTCTGCCTCCACCTCTACATGGCCATATTCTCCTGGTGTGGGTTTACATCATCTTCCCTCCATGCATATCTATCGCATTGGCTAAATTTCTTTTACATAGGGACATTTGTCATATTGGATTAGGGCCCATTCTAATGATCTCATTTTAACTCAATCACCTCTGTAAAGACCCTACTTCCAAATAAAGTCTTATTCTGAGGTACCAAGGGTTAGGACTTCAACAGATCTTTTTTGGGAGACACTATGTAACCCATTATATACAGTAGGCAAAACTTTGAGCAAAACAGAGCAAGGAAATGGTACAGTCATATTACAGCAATGTGGACCCAGGAAAAATGCCAAAGTAATACAAAAGATTCCCATTCTAGTTTTCTAAACCCACTTCTCCATTGTTTAGTCTCCTTTCCTGCAAGCTACCATTCATGTCGTTCCACTTTCAATCTCTGTAATTCAAAGCAAAGAGAACAACTTGATACCTTTCCCCACAGATCTGTTCTGGGAAATCTAGCTCTCAAACAGGTTCATCTGTTAGGTACAAGATTCCCCTGAGTTTTCTGTATTTGTTATCTCCTTAGCAAGAGACCTTGGAATAACTCACAACCAATTGCTTTGTATCTTATTTTGCTAAGAGTAATACATGTGCATGGTAATTATCATTAGACCTGCATTAGTTGTAAACTGACAAAAATCCTTCCAAATGTTAGAACCCTGACCTCATCTTTCTCAGAAGAATGTTTTTCCTCTCTCCACCTTTGGCCTCTAGCTTCTTAGAACCAACACATTCAGGAAAGGTTTAAATAAAGAGCCTACAGTATTTATGATGCTCTTAGGCCATAAATAATGCCTCTGCCAAAGACTAGTCTCCCTGGAAATGGACTTTCAGTTTCTCTCAAGTACACTTCAAGGAAGAACACTATGAATCTGAGAATATCTCCTTCCTTTACCAAAAGAACATATTTTAAATTCTGAACCTCCTAAAGGACTAGCTACCTACAAATTCTGTATTAGAAATGTGGGACAAGAGACCAATTCATAGAGATCATATCTGAATCCAACTCTGGATATATGTGAGACTTTGAGACTATACTCCAGAGCAGAAGCAATAATGTAGAAAGTCTACCCACTGTAAGAAATGGGTAGACTCATTTTTGCAAATGCATCTTCATCCTAGATTGGGTGCTGAGTTTTGAATATTCCAAAGTAAAAAGAGCAGCCATGTTCAAGAGATATGTGGGGACGCCTGGCTGGTTCAGTCGGTAGAGCATGTGACTCTTGATCTCAGGGTCGTGAGTTCAAGCCCCATGTTGGGCATAGAGCTTACTTTTTAAAAAGAGAGAGAGATGTAAAGAAACATTAGAGAAAATTACCTGTTCACTAGAACTTATAAGTTAGAGTTATGGAATTATAAATAACTGTAACAAATTTAAAAATGAAATATCAGCATCAAAGGAGCATTTAGTTACAACATATTTTTACCTGAGAAATGGGTATTACAGAAAACCATTTGTGGAAGGTGCATTTACAGCAATAGAGCCCAAGATTTGTGTCCCACATGCAGATTTCTGGATCTTTCAAAAGGTGCCAACATGTGCTCTATGAAAGAAAAAAAAAATATTAGAATTATCTTGCCCAAAGTTGACCTATTAATTTCAGAGATAGAAGTCATTTAGCTTAATGGTTGTTTGGCTACTTGTGCTAGAGTACTGGTTTTAGGTATTTTTCTTTCAAGTGAAATTGTGGCTTTATCCTACGTAGATATTTTATGACATCTCTACAACATTGATATGTTGTAATAACTAGAATAGTTGTGTTGCATGATCTCAAAACTAGGACAGCCCTTAGAGATTATCTAAACTTTCAAAGTGACTTTTACATACATATCACTGTATCTCATATAAGCTTCCAACAACTCTGAAAAGGAAGTAGAAAAACATTATTAACTCGAATACAGAGGTCCAGAATGGATGTGGGACTTGCCCAGACTGCCCCTTAAAACAGAGCCAGGACTTCACACTTCATGCTCCCTACATCCTCTTTTCCATTTCTATTTCATGTCTGTGTCACCTCCAAACACTTTGTTCAGATACTTGAGACACAGTTACTCTCCCCAATCATTGGCCATAATCCTCAATAACAGAATCACCCATGATGAGGACCACAAAATTTCTCAACTGCTCTCACTTTCAACTCCATCACACTTTAGCCCCAGCTTGGGTTTTCCCACCACTAAGAACTGTTCACCTCTAAGATTTCTAGTCAGTTTTTATTTGCTGACAAAATCTCCTCACTTTCTGCTTCCATCCCCACTTACCTACTCAACCTGCCGTTTGCCATCGTCAGTCAGTCAAAACACACGTATTGAGAACCTACTTCACCTGGGCCTAGGAAATCAGTGGAAGACTAGCTAACCACCGGCCCAACCCAGCCTGAATCTTCCCCCTCAGCCGAGCCCACCCTTTGACCTCTTAGTCCTTTGGAGTTCCCCGTATTCCAGTCCACACCTGCTCTGAAGGCCTCAACTGTCTCCCCAGCAATTGACGGTCATTTCAACTTTAACCTCCGCAGCATCTTAAAATTCTTCAATTCATTGATCTCCCAACCCCCAGATCTGAGTCCCTTCATCATTCATTCTCTGCTCCTAAATTACCTTGCTGCTGGTTAAGATCATAAAACTATGATGATGGGGTCCATCACAAATTCAAATTCTCCAACTTGACCTAAGACTTTTAAATTACTCTAAACATTCCAGAAAGAACCAAAACAAAAAACAAAAAAAAATGGGTGGGTGTCTTGAAGATGAAAATTTTGGTTTGAAATAAGATAACAACTTGTAATCACATCAACTAACCAGGAACAAAATAGTAATGAGCTCAGTGTTACTGTTGATGCTTAAGTAGAGTTCAGGAATTCCCAAACATGACTGGCTAGAAGAACCCTTGGAGAGATTTTTTTGAAATACAGAATCCCAAGTCCTACTTCAGATTAGTGAAGCAGAACTTCTAGAACGTGTATATCTAAAGCTCTCTAGTAGACTCTGATGCAGCCAATCCACAGACTGACTCCCACGGAGCTACACTGTTGACTATGCTTTTCTCCAGGACACAACGAAAGGGATTTCTTCACTGAAGAGGTGTCTGGGTTGGATGATCAGCCTTTATGTTTTATTACCTCTTTTTTTTTTTTCTCCTCTGCCTGAACCTGAAACCTGTTAGTGTTATCTATTGTTTACACTCCTTCTTTACCCCACACGTGGCTTTTAGAGCTCCACACACTGAGGCGACTTGGGAGCACAATCTGTGTGTCAGTCCAGGACTCCTTCCAGTCTAAAAATGGCAGCAATGGATGTGCGTCTGAATCCTGCTCTTTCCACATCCACCAACATGAAGCACCCACAACATCTCTTAATTTTCCCACTGATAGGGACTGACACTTGCTTTACACTCCACTGCTCTCTTGCCTCATTTGTAATGACTTTATGTTAGCCAAAATGAATGTTTCTTCATGTCTGCCCTTACAGCAGAAGTAAAGGCAAGATGAATATCATGTCTTTGCTGGACTAAACACTTAAATCCATTGCTGCTCAATGGCCTTGCTGGACTCTACTGAGTGCGGCTTATGTCACTGTTTTTGAAACATCTTTATGGACAGTGAAAAGATCAAGCATTACCTCCAGTGATGGTAAGATCCAAATGGCCACTTCCAGTAACATCCCTGAAGATGAGTCATAGTCTGATCAGTTGATTTATAATAAACCTTCCCCACATGTATCTTGATAAAAGCAGACCTTTCAGGATTTTTTTAAAAGTCCCCTACCAAGGCTTTCCTTTTCATACTTCTCAGTTGCCAGATTATACAAAATTATAATTTTCCTCATTTACTATGGATTTGATTGATTACATAGTCCTTAAAAAAAAGTTACCTGCAAATACAGTTACTTGACCCCAATTGCATATACACACGAAAAAATAGGTAATACTCTAAATGTTGTCTCTTGTCTTTTTCTCATTAAATTGCAAAAGGTCTCATACAGTTCAGCATAGCTGGTGCCTCCTTACTTTCATTTCTGTAACACTCTTTTCTTTATTATTAATAACATTTATGGCAATAAAAGTAATAATAATGTCTACATTTCTTCCCAAGAGCACAAAGGTCTTGGTCCTGGGTACCAACATGCACTAAAATATATAACAGATGCTGTGAATCTTTTTTTTTTAACATCTTGAATGTCTTAAACAATTTTCTTTTAGTTACTATTCCCAGTTACTAAAGGCAAGAGAGTGGTATAAAAAAAAAATTAAGTAATGTATGGGGATTAACATAAGAATAAAAAAAATTTTTTTAATTAATTAAATATCCTTCTTTCCTTTTGTTCTTTTAACAGAGCAGCTCACATTTTCAGCCTTTCAAGTCTCATGTACACATCACAAATTCAGTGAAATTGACCAGACATTAGAGAAACACTTCTGTTTTCTTCTCAAGGAAGAACAAAGGCAGAATTGACATAGGGGCTTTTCTAACAGGGAAGGCACTGAGAGAAGACAGCTGTGACTTATCTAGAAGTACGCTGTGTCTCTGAGGAAAGACGGGTTTCAGGCCCCAGTCTGGACTATTCTCTTCTCACCCTGAATCATTCACCCTTCATCTTCCCTTATTGAACCAGCCTTTTGGTTTTTTGTTTCGTTTTGTTTTAATTTAAATTCAATTAGCCAACATACAGTACATTAGTTTCAGATGTAGTGTTCAATAATTTATCAGTTGCATATAACACCCAGTACTCATCACATCATGCCAGTTGCCCCATCCCCCCACCCACCTCCCCTCCAGCAACCCTCAGTTTCTTTCCTAGAGTTAAGAGTCTCTCATGGTTTCTCTCCCTCTCTGATGACTTCCCATTCTGTTTTCCCTCCCTTCCCCTATGATCCTCTGCCCTGTTTCTTATATTCCACATTTGAGTGAAACCATATAATTGTCTTTCTCTGATTGACTTATTTCGCTCAGCATAATACCCTCCAGTTCCACCAACGTCGATGTAAACTTAAGTATTCGTCCTTTCTGATGGCTAAGTAATATTCCATTATATATATGAACCACATCTCTATCCATTCATCCGTTGAAGGATATCTTGGCTCTTTCCATAGTTTGGCTCTTGTGGACATTGCTGCTATAAACATTGGGGTGCACCTGCCCCTTTGGATCTCTACATCTGTATCTTTGGGGTAAATACGTAGTAGTACAATTGCTGGGTCATAAGGGTACCTCTATTTTTAACTTCTTGAGGAATTTCCATACTGTTTTCCAGAATGGCTGTACCAGCTCGCATTCCCACTAACAGTGTAAGAGGGTTCCCCTTTCTCTGCATCCTTGCCAACATTTGTTGTTTCCTGTCTTGTTAATTTTAGCCATTCTGACTGGTGTGAGGTGGTATCTCATTGTGGTTTCAATTTGTATTTCCCTGATGCTGAGTGATACGGAGCATTTTTTCATGTCTGTGGCCATTTGGATGTCTTCTTTGGAGAAGTGTCTGTTCATGTCTTCTGCTCATTTACTGACTGGATTATTTGTTTTTTGGGTGTTGAGTTTCATAAGTTCTTTATAGATCTTGGATACTAGCCCTTTATCTGATGTGTCATTTACAAATATCTTCTTCCATTCTGTAGGCTGCCTTTTAGTTTTGTTGACTATTTCCTTTGCTGTTCAAAAGCTTTTTATCTTGACTAAGTCCCAATAGTTCATTTTTGCTTTTGTTTCCCTTGCCTTTGGAGACGTGTCTAGCAAGAAATTGCTGCAGCTGAGGTGAAAATGTGAACCAGGCTTTTAGAAATGTATCTTCTCTTTGATTCATCTAGTAGACCCCTTACTATCAGTGAAATGGAGTCTGATTTGTTGGTTGTTTTTTTTCCAGGCACCAGCCCTACCAGTCCAGAGGCAGCCACAAGATGACTGGGGCAGGAGGTGCAGATCAAGTTCTTCGGAAGCAGAGAAAGATAAAAAGGACTGAACAAAAGCCCCTGTTTAGCCCAGACTCTAGTTTTTATTCATTCCAGTGTACTAAACATTATAGAACTTTTATAGTTCTGGAATAAATTCCCTTGAAAATTGAGCCTGGGTTGAAGCTTACATTCTAAGCTTCATTAGGAGTGTAATCCCAGGGCAGTGTGATGATGGAGAAGAGAACTGAGGCAGGTAAGACTGGGGAGCACATGCAAGATGCTGTGTTACAAAATTAGTCCCTTCACAAAGAGAAGCCTCCTAGGATAACCTGTACAGAAAGCTGTCTCTCGGAACAGCCCATCTAGGGGTGGAAGAGAGACAAATTATCTATCCAGGCCCTGCATCTATCAGATCCTGGAGCCATACCAAGTCAGTTACCAGCCAGCAACTACAGTGGAAGACATCCAGAGCTCCAGCAAGACAGGCGAAGGCCAGAGAATCCGAGGTGGCACAAAAGAGATGTCTGATACACTTACCATATGCAATGAAATCTCTGGTATACTATTTCCTGGTCAAATATAATTATCAAAAATATAATGAAATGTATCCTACCAGTGTTTTCAAGCCACAACCAAGGAAAAAATACCTCCTGATCACCGGTTTCCTTTGAAGAAGGCATATGTAATAATAGCATATAATTTTTTTCAGGAATTGTTTTCACCTGTGAATTTCATTTATAGTATTTCCAAACAATAAGCATTCATCAAAGGAAAAAACAGTTGATCTGGACAACTTTTGCTTGCTGAAGCCCCTCTAGATTAGCAGAATTAAATAAATACCAAGTAAGGGCTTCTGAGGAAACACTAAGAGATCATGTGAGCTGTCTAGGCAGCCACCCTGTCAGGAAGGTGGTTACACAGATGACACTGACTTTGTTAACAGAGTAGTGTGAGCATGATGTCCAGTGCTGTGGGAGAGGGAGGAGAAATTGAGGAAGAATAAATTACTCCCTTTGTTAGTATGCAAATAAATTATTTATATGCAAATAACATGAGCAAACAAAAAGTCTATCTTATAAAGAAATTTTTTAAATTTGTCTGCCTGAAAAAATTAAAAAAAACTTTTTTTTATTATCCTACCAAATTTTCCACTAAATTATTTAGGCCAAAATAACTCTCCATCTGATGCAATCTGAATCAAGTATCATTGGATACATCTTTAATTGTGATTAAAACACTTCAGCTCAGTGTAATTTCTTTCTGCCCCAAGGGTGTCCAGCTGTCCTTAAGGACAAATGACTCTACCATCATCACAACCATCATTAAGTATTTGGATTGAGTTGAAAATTCATTTTGGATAATAATGTCTTATGTTAAAGAAGTCATTTATTTGAAAAGCACAAAAGACAACTTAATTCTACTATGTACCAAGTCTTACTTGCCATGAATTAGCAGGTCAAGGTGCTTACACCATTAACCCTAAATCCTTAGACTACCTTTATTTTCAGTTTGTCCAAAATTCTT